CCATTATTATTCTAAAATCTTATTCAGTGATGCTGCTGATATCTGTTTTGAGCAGATCATTAGCTGTCATTTCTTCTTGGAGTTTCTTTGGAGGAGAGCTCTTTCGTTTCGTCATTTTAGTTAGCTTTCCGGCTCTTGTTAGTTTTAAAGACCTGTTAATGCTCTCTGTATCTATGCGCACTGCTATATCCAAGAAGACTCTTTGACTGTCCGGGGTCTATCCTTTCAGAGAGTGTTTTTTTGAATGGTATCTCTTGGTCTCTCTTGTTGGGACCTTGGTTATTTTATTTTCCTATTCGTAGTGATATTTGGGACTCTCAACCTTGTGTACTCTAGCTTGTTTCTTGAGGTAGCAGTTAGAAGGCTTTCTCAGTGGATTCTGCATCCTTTTTCTCCCAATCTCTCAGGTTTTGTAAGGTTTCCAATGGCTTCAGATCTTTTCCGTGTGATGTATGGGCGAGTGCAAGTACGGAGCTTCTTCTTCTCTGCCATCTTGCCCCCTCCTCACCCCTGCAATTTTTTAAAATTTCTGTCAAATTTACAAATCCTTTTCTTTATTTCCTTTTCTGAAAACTATTCCCTACAGTCAGGTCATAGAGGAAGCCACCAAAAATACCTTGTTTTGAGGTTGAATTATTTGCCCAAGCTCACATATATAGTAGTGCCTAAGCTAAAACTTCACATCTGAGGGACTACAATGAATGTGAGGAAAAGCTGCAAGTGGTACTTCTCCTTCCAGAAAATGATAAAATACCTGTGCCTAGGGGATGGGGAGATGTCAAAGAGATTATAGGAAGTTATGGAGCCATGCAGTACGAAGTATAAACGGGCATTTAAAAAAGATGTGGAATTCTACTTTCTCATCACTAAAACCTGGTGATACGAACTCTGCTTTGAAAGAAACAAGAGATATAGAAGACAGGAGGAAATACCTCGGCTCCAAACCCAACACAGGCATCCCTGAATAAAGGTGCTGATCTCAGATAGCAGTGCCCTCACTAAAATGATAAATGAGTGGAGAGAAAAAAAAAAACTGACCCCCACCCAGAGAAAAAAAAATGCAAAGAAAGTTGTTTATCTTTAGAAAGAAAGAAAAAATATCAGAAAAAGCGTAACTTCTTTCACATATAGTTTTTAGCACAAATCAACATGTGAAAAATGTAGAAAGCCAACATCCCATCCATGTGGGACATAGTTTGGGTATTATACTTAAATGTTTTTCAACTGAGTTATCTTTGTAGACTTGCTAATAATCGTCAGCTCAGTTCTATTCCATGTTTATTTGAGAATGCAGACATGCTTGGGATTCTTAAGTTTCATTGGAAATATTCTTCTAGACTTTATGCTTGAAGCATAACAATATGAGGTAGATGTATTCATCTCTGTCTGTATTGTACTAGTTAAAGCATAGGGTTAAAATATTATGAAGGATCATCTCCCTCAGCTTACTCTGATAAAAGAATACTCTGTACCAACCTTGGGTCTGCCTTCCACTATTCATTTATTTGGTAGGCTCTTACAAGTCTAAGAGTTGCTTGAGAATTAGTTGTTCTAGTTAATAATGGGAATGTGAATATTAAGATAAGTTTTATAATCATTTTAATACTTCTTTTCAGTTTATTTCTTAATGCAATACTTTCATGAATAGAAAACATGTAAAATCATCAAAGCATCCTCAGGAAGAAGTAGAATTTATATTATTCTAGGCTTATTTCTTGGAAATGGTTTTAGAAAAGCCAGAATCCTCTGTATGCCCCTCTGGGAACTTCTGTTTCTCAGTTATGGTAGGATTTAGAACAGAGCTTTTTCACAGACACATTAGGGAAAACACTAGTGTTCTCATTCCATTTCTAATAAAGCAAAAACCGGTGTATAAAAATAAAAGTTTAAAACTATGAATTATGTATTAAACGCATACCTTCTAGGTTGAAGGAATGCTTCTAATAAAATATTTCTGTGAAATTTATTATGAATTAATAAAATAATTGGTACAGTAAATGCTGACAGCAGCATTAGAATAAATGTTATCTATACAATAAAAACCTGTGTCTGAGTTTTAAACAAAGCTGGAGAATTTTGTCAAAATCATTATTTCAAAAAAATTTTTTTTTTTTTTTATTTATTTCTAGGAGAGAGAGAAAGAGAGACAGCGCGAGCGAGAGAGGGTCAGAGAGAGAGGGAGACACAGACTCCGAAACAGGCTCCAGGCTCTGAGCTGGCAGTCAGCACAGAGCCCGACGCGGGGCTCGAACCCACGAACGCGAGATCATGACCTAAGCGAAAGTCGGACGCTCAACCGACTAAGCCACCCAGGCGCCCCTAAAATCATTATTTCAATATTACAACTGTAGTCCTAGAAGAGAGAAATATAACCTACTGCAGTCCCTGAAATATATTATCTTCAATAAACATGACTTTTCTCCCTTTCAACATTGAAATTTAACTATCTGCAATTCATCAAGATATTTCCAAATACCAACTCATTATGAATCCTACATAGTAAATAGGGGAAAATAAAAATACTATTTCTAATTATATAGCATTTTCTTAACTTACAATCAGGGGATATAAACTGCTTCATGGCAAAAAGGAATATACACTATGGCTCAATTTCCTTCTCCTTCAGAATGGAAATACAAAATATTTGTTATCTGTAAAGTGTTTCCTGAGGGACAAGATGGCTGAGTCAGGTAAAGAGAAGCAGAGTACATACACTTACATCTTATGCCCATTTGTAATATGGTGGTCCAGAATATAATTCATCACCTATATTTAAGCCTGCAGAATCTCACTGCATATAAGGATGACAAAACACAACATAGCCCTGCCACAAAGGTACTCTGCATTTAATGAAACATTTTTATACCACTAAGCAGTGTTTCCTAGTTCAGAAATAAAGAATAAGTATTGGTATATTCCTTCAACCTTTCAAGAAACAGGTAACTATCTTGCTATGTAAATATTTTCAGAATAATTAGACTTCCTCTTAGGTTGGTATTGACTGATTTTATTTATAGGAAGCCCAAGAATTGGAGTTGTTATTCTATGGTATATAATTCAAAATTTGGCAGAATATGAGTGACCAGAGAGAGACATAAAGAAAGTCTGTCAGGTAAGAGGAATACTCTATTTCTTTTTATTTGGATTGTGGTTGCTCTGTACATAATTGATAAAACTCTTCAAGTTTATTTCTTGTCTGAATAGTGTATCTCAACAGAAATTTTGTCAATACATATATATATTTTTAGATTTGTATCTGTTAGGTTTCAACCAACCAACCAACCAAACAAGCAAACAAACAAACAAACAAACACCTGAGACTACTTTAACTGCTTCAGTCAGAAAGGGATGTAATATTGAAAAGTTATTCAGTATTTACAAACTACTGAAAGTCTGAAGGAAAAAAAAAAGTTACGAAACTCACTTCCACCTCCCAAGTTCAACTCTTTCTTTCAGAGCTTTAAGAGGTTGTAGGAGAAAGAGGAAAAGACCTGTAATGCACTCAGTGGCTCTAAAACTAAGCTGGATCTATTTTGTAGTTCTGCTCATGGAGGTAGGCTTGCGTATGCTTCTCTTCCGTCCTGTCAATCATGTAAGATTAGCTTCCACTGATGGAATATTACATTGAGCCCTGTTGGCAGAATTTCTGAGATGCATAAATCTCAGGAGAATACAGGAGTCAGAAAATGGTGCTGAGTTGTCTGCCTCTATCTATGTATCTATGTATCTGTCTATCTATCATCTATCTTATATCTATCTATCTATCTATCTATCTATCTATCTATCCATCCATCCATCCATCCATCCATCCATCCATCCACCTATCCATCTATCTATCATCTATTCATCTATCTATCATCTATCTGGAGAGAGAGAGACAGGGAGAGAGGAAGGAAAGAAAATCATGCATTTTGTTATAAGCATATCTATGTTTCATTTCTTTTACTGCTCAGTAGTATTCCATCACATCAATGCATCACAGATTTTCTGCTGGATATGTGACACTTTCCAAGTTTATTATTATTAAAATATTGCTGTTGTTTTAGGACTCTTTCCAGAGAGTTAGGTTTTCATTTTTCTTGTATAAAAACCTTCAACTGCTATTGTTAGATGCAACCGTATTTTTTAAATATCAGTAGGTCAAATCAGTGTCAGACATCACTTCTATTTGCCTACTGATTTTTGTGCACAGTACTTTGCAATTACTAAAAGGGAATGTTAAAATCCCTAGGTTTGAATACAGATTTGTCTATTTCTCTCTTCTCCCCTCATTTTCTTTTCCTCAAGTATTGTTAAACTCTTATCAGGTGCACACAAATTTATTATTTTTGTCTTTTTCATGACTTTTCCTTTTTTGCTTTTTATGAAATATCCATATATACTTCTGCTAATAATATTTATTGAAGTATACTTGTAACTAATATAAATGCAACCACACTAAGTTTTTTATGTTTAATGTTTGCAGTGCATATAAGACTTTTCATCCTTTTCAATTTCAAGTTGGGTATTTTTACTATTTAAAATGTGTTCCTTATAACTAACCTATAGTTAGCTTTGCTTTCTTTTTCATCCATTCTGAGAAATTTTCCTTTGTAATCCATGTACTTAATATGTTTACATTTAATTAAATTTTTGGTGTTTGCAATCCATTAGAATATTTGTTTTCTGTTTATTTTCTTCTGTTTTCCTTTGTTCCTTCTTTCTAGCCTAGTTCTAGGTAAAAAGAGTATTATTAGTAGTCCATTTTGGGACGCCTGGGTGTCTCAGTCAGTTAAGCATCCAACTTTGGCTCAGGTCATGATCTCATGGTCTGTGGGTTCAAGCCCCACATCAGGCTCTGTACTGACAGCTCAGAGCCTGGAGCCCGCTTCTGCTTCTGTGTCTCCCTCTCTCTTTCTGTCCCTCCCCTGCCCTTTCTGTCCCTCAAAAATAAATAAACATTTAAAAAGTTGTATTAGTAGTCCATCTCATGTTATCTACTGATTTTTTAGCTATCTATCTTTGTGATATTTTGTGGTTCTTATAGAGGTTAAAACATACCTTTTAATTAGTCATACCTTACTTTTAAATAATATTAATTCATGAAAAAATTGAGTCTTTCAATTGTATAAGCTTTTAATAGTGGTCTCTTCCCTAAAACTCCTTGCAGTTACTCTGCCATGTATTTTATTATATCTAAATATTCTATTAAAAGCACAGTGTATTCTTGCTTTAAAATATTAGTAACGTTTAAGTTGCTGTGCATTGTCATATGCATACTCTTTTTTATTCACCCAAGTATTTACCTTCCGTCAGGCTGCTTATTTTTGCTACAGATCCGGAGTTCCATCTTATGCTAAATCCTCTCAGCCAGAAGAATTCCTTCTATCCTTTCTGGTAGTGCTAATCTATAGAAAGTGTATCCTTTCAGTTTTATCTATTTGATTTTGTCCTTTTTAGCTTTCATCTTTGAAGGATATTTTTACTGCATGTAAAATACTAGATTGATCACTTTGTTTTACTTTTAATACTTTAAAAGCATGCTTACATTGTCATCTCAACTGTATTTTATAAAGGCAGTTTTCATGATTTTCTTTATACTTCTGTATATATTGTGTCATTTTTCTCCTCTCTTGTGGAAAAAATTAAGATGTTCCCTTTATCTTTGGTTATTTAGCATTTTGACTCAGATATGCCCCGCTGTGATAATTTATGTATTATGATTATTAATATTACCATTAGTTTATGAATTATGCTAATAATATTTCTTAACCATAAATCTAAATGATTTAAAAGTGCATTATAGGGGCGCCTGGGTGGTTTAGTCGGTTAAGCGTCCGACTTTCGCTTAGGTCATGATCCCGCAGTTCGTGGGTTCGAGCCCCGCGTCGGGCTCTGTGCTGCCAGCTCAGAGCCTGGAGCCTGTTTCAGTCTGTGACTCCCTCTCTCTCTGACCCTCCCCTGCTCACGCTCTCTCTCTCTCTCTCTCCTAGAAATGAATAAAACATTAAAAAATTTTTTTTAAAAAAGTGCATTATAAATTTTTACTGAGGGTCCAGAAAGAAGAATATACAATACATAGAATAAACCAAATTTTGTAATCAAGAGACAGTTTAAAACTTTGATTTTTCTTATTACAAAGATATGAGTTATTGAAAATTTAACAGCACTGATATGTGTTCTTTCAAATTTTTATACACACATATACACATACTTATAGTCTTTTTTTTTTTTGCCAGCACCTCTCTGTTTCAAAGTCTTGAGAGAAATTTAAGTTTTGAAAACTTTAATGTAAATCCACATTTTGAAGAAGATATGGCAACTTCCTTATTAAATTTGAACAACTCATTAATTTAAATAATGTATTCCTTGTTTTCAAAGGTTACTCTAATAATTTGCAAACATTAACTACTGAGATGTTTTTTATTGTTTTTTTTTCTGCTATAAAATGATTCTTTTATTTTTAAGTTTATTTATTTTTGAGAGGGAGACACAGAGCGCAAGAGGGGGAGGGGTAGAGAGAGAGGGAAACACAGAATCCGAGCAGGCTCCAGGCTCTGAGCTGTCAGCACAGAGCCCAACACAGGGCTCAAACCTATGGACCACTAGATCATGACCTGAGCTTAAGTCAGCCACTTAACTGACTGAGTCACCCAGGTACCCCATATAAAATAGCGTGTCTTAAAGTTCTTTCTACTTACCCCTTAGGTCAGAATCACCTGGGGTTCTTGTTAAAAAGGCAGCTGTGTGGAAGTCACCTCAGGCTATGTGAATAAGTGAGGGCACGTGACTGGTGGGCACCAGAACATGCATTTTTATAAACTTTTTCCTTCGATTCTAGGCAGAATGATGTTCAAGAATCATTTTCTTAGACATATACAGAGGGGTATTTCTAGAATACTGTAGCCCAGTATAGATAAAATAGTAAACTAATACTGTCACTTGCCCTAATTCATTACACTGTTGTATAAAGCTTAACTTCAAAGGCATGGATATTTTAAAAACAGAACTTTAACTTTGTTCTTGTGATCAAGGCTACTCTTTATCTTGCTATAGGTCATTCTCTACATTACCATTTTTCTGGATATCTCAGACATGCTGGTATATATTTTCTAATAATATATAATTGTAGTAAAGTCTGAATTATATTTGAATTCTTATCTGAAAAATGAAGTACTTCACAGCTAACTATGTTGGAACACAACACAATATTATTGAAAACATTGGGGCACCTGGGTGGCTCTGTTGGTTAAGTGTCCAGCTCTTGATTTCAGCTCAGGTCATGATCTCATGGTTCATGAGTTTGAACCCCACAATGAGTTCTGTGCTAGCAATGTGCTTGGGATTTCTCTCTCTCTCTCTCTCTCCCCTCCCCCATCGTTCTTCCCTCATTTGTGCTCTCTTTCTCTCAAAATAAATAAATAAACTTAAAAAAAGAAAAGAAAACATAAGTGTTAGTCAAATAACCTTGATGAGAACATCATGACTTCCAATTATTAGACACATTATATTCTGTACGCTTCTTTCCCATTTTCAGTTTGTTTTGTCAGGAGTTGGTATAGATTTATTGGTTTATATAAAATTTCTAGCACAAAATGATACCTAAAAAGGTACACTTTTATCAGTGTACTTTTCATGAAAACATGGGATTTAATATCTACTTTCTGCACAGAAATTTTGTTCAAAGGCAGTCATATATAGGAGTTCAGAATCTCACAGAGAGAAAACCTGGCAGATCTGCAATTGAGATTTGCCCCAGAGGCATTTTTCACAACACTGAGAATTTAGCTTAACCACTGCACTTCAGCACTGAACAGTTATAATGAATCTAACACTGGCAAAGTCACAGAAATCCTAATTTTCTAGATATTGTAGCTAAACGCAAATCTGTCAGCCTCAACTAATTCCACATTTTCTTTTTCCTGCTTATTACCTCAAGGATGTTATATCCTGGCCTAGAGTAGAGGGCAGAAGTGTCAAAGTGCCAGAAGGATTAGATCGCAGTGGCAAAAAATCAAGGTAAGACTACGTAGCAGATCTAATCAGCACTACAGCATGAGACACCCCAAATATATCAAAGATCAAATGACAGCAATACAAAGAAGGGAAGCATGCAGTTCCTGAGGCAACTCTTTCCTTAGCTCCCACTGGATTTCCTTCAGTTCAACTTCTCATTCAATCTCTGTAGTGTTTGTTATAAACACATATTATTTCTATTAATGTAATAATTATCATCCTTTTCCTTTTTAATTTGCCTACAGATTTTCTTATATATTCTTTAGGAAATTCTTTTCCTCTCCCAAAATTATAAATTTATTTATCTATATTATTTTCTGTATTTTTATAGTTTGCCTTTCATTTTAAGTATTGAATCTACCTAGAATTGATTTTTAACATGAGTATAATGTAGCTATCTAATTTCTTTCATGCTCCTTTAAATAACCAATTGTTGACTCATTTTTGAATTTTTGCATATCCCCCACTGATATGCAATGCTACAATTAATGATCATAATATAAGATTTCTTCCATTCATGGATCTTTTTTTAGGTCTCTTCATTCATGTGGAATCTTTTTCCTATGAAAGCTCATGGAAAGGTTAATACCTTACTTCCCAAATATTTTCATCCTGTGGCTGACATTAACACAATAAAATTAGGAAAGTATACTTTGGTTAAAGAATGATATTGTGCCCATAAAATGTGAACAGTCTGTGTTGGAGTGGAGTATGTTCCTGGTTGCCCCCCAAACTTTTACTGATCCCAAAGCTAAAGGAATAGTTTTTCAGCCACTTGTAATCTATTCATGGATTTAGGAAATTCTTTTCCTCTCCCAAAATATAATGCAACACTTCATTTGGGAAGCTATTCAATTTTTTTATTATTATTATCTAGCATCCAGGTGTTTTAGACTACATGGGAGTTTCAGTCTGGTTAGAAATTGGTCTCTTATAAATAGCATTCTGTTTCTGTTCTTTGGTTTTTATTTGGCCTGTGAAGTCATGGATGTTGCCATTCTTACTAATTTTGCTTGTTTTTTAATAGAGTGATGGGTACACCAAAGCATTTAATAACAAAGTTTTGTTAGGTCTTCACTGTTGTACCATATAGCTTTCTAAATGCAGAAACATTATACAAAACCTACAAAAAGAGTCCAAACCTTTTTTTCTGTTCCTTCCCATTTATTTTTTAGCACAATTTATATATGAGTTCTAAAAATTTTTCAAGTGCTATGGGCACTAGATCATGGTTAAAAGAATTATGTTTCGAATGCTGCTTTGAGTCTGTGGGATGTAACATTCTCTGTAACGATTTTATTATTGCTAAAGGCAAGAAATACTTTATTTCTAACATCAAAAGTAAATAAGATGTTGCTCAATTTAGAAGTCCAGGAATATATAATGGGACCAGGATTACCTCCGGAGATAGAAGTTAACATTTGTAAACTTTAAAGAGTTTAAAGTTGTTATTCTTCCTGCAGACAGTGCATAACATTCTCTCAAACAATATTCTAACTTTTTAATCTCCTCAACTGCCCAGTTGTACATGAGTGTTAGAACTAAAAGCAAATAGTCCAGGACAAACAACAGCTACAAGTCTCTTTACTCTTGGATGAAGACCCAAGTTTCAGTACTGGAGGGATTAAAATCTAAAATTTAAGGGAAAAAAAAAAACTAGTGAAAGTAATAAGTATATTATCTCATAAGTAGATGGATCACATTGTTTTTAAAGTCAAGTTTCATTATTCTGCAGTATGCTATACGCTCTGCAGTGAAGGGCAACATGAATAGACTCCAGAGCCGAGGTTTGTTTTCTTAATTTCTAGCTCCTTAGTTGTTATTTTAAATATTTACTTAAGTACTTTGCATTATTTTTCACCTTCCAAAGATACTTTTCACTTACCATCATTGAGAAATTTGTAAAAGCTAATGCATATTTAAAAGGGGAAATATCTTTTACAGAACTATTTAGGGAAACTTGGGGTCATAATTCATGTTTCTTTAAAAACTGAATGAGACTGTTCTTTCAGTTATACACTGGAAGTTTTTCTTCATTCCTTTCTTATTTCTTAGTGCTATGATTTATCACATTTTTATATCACAGGATATTCTTACATGGAATGTCAATATCTTCTGGTTAAAAATATAAAGGCTATCACTAGTGACTGCTTATGGCTTTCTGCTTCAGTAGAATTCAGCATGAGAACTTTCTAAGAACACAAACACTTTTCTTCATTCTCAACTATTCATGCATCATTAAATTTGGTTCACATGTGCTGATGGAATAATTGAAGATGACGTACATTATTCTGTTCTTACAAGTGGTTTTATACATACTCTACCTTTGCCTGAACATTCCTTTAATATCACAACAAGGATACAGGTATTTTAAAAATCACTATTCTAACACATATTAAAATTAAATTTTAGCAACTTGAAATCCAGGAACTATTATCTTTCCAGAATGTGTGCTTACAGAAATTCACTAACTCAATATGCTTCCTTCACTTATCTGTGAAAGTTCCTATTATACATAAGCAGTTAGAGACCAATGTGTGCCTTACAACTCTTTACCGTTTTTGTCTTAGCATGTCAGAGTTGCTACACACTTGTCTTGTATTCATTGTTGGCAAAAGAGAAAAGGTGATATAAGAAAAATACTCAAGAGAAATGTTAGGACCTCCAGATTAGCTTCATTTTGAACTCCTGCACCTCTATTCCCATCTTCTTAATCCTGCCTGAGTAAAAAAGATAGACAAATTTAATATTAAAACTGAAAACAAATTGAGGCATCATTGAATGCCAGAAACTAGAAGAAATTTAATGCAGAAGTGACCAATGGGAAGAATTGCATAATACTGATTCATTTATTGATTTTTTGAGAAATAATTTTGCATCATAGGTATTTATTTAGTCATTCCACCAATTTGCATGAGTTTTATTAATTTCAAGCACTTTTTAGATACTATGTTATAAGTAAATATCTGTCCTAGGCAGATATTGTAAATATAGGCAAATAGGTAGACAGATTGATTTACAGGTAGATATTGCAAAAGGCTAGAAAAAAATGGATCATTAGGTAACTATAAGGGAAGTTTATCTAAATATAGTACACAACAAAGAATTTTGAAGAATATACCAAGTAACTGAAATATAATCTGCTAAAAGTAGCTAGTCAGTATGAGAAATTAAGCAGAGGAGTTTTCATACTACATTGTTTTATTTATATAATATGGAAACACAATAAAATGATCTACTGTGATGGAAGTCAGAATAGTGATTATTTTTGTGGCATGATTACTGAAAGGGGACATGAAGAGGCATCTGAGGTCTACTAAAGTCACAGAGATACATGTGCTTTATGAAAATTAACTGAGTAGCACCAAGGCTATGTACATTTTCCTGCTTTACCCTCCTATACAAAATGCCTATGTGAAAAAGCAATATGGCATGTGAGAACTTGGGGAAAGTTTGGTTCAGATATGACAACAGCTTGTAGAAAAGTCCAGGAAAGAGAGCATCCTTACGTCTTCTTGAAGAAGATTGGAGGCCAGTAGGACTGGAACACAATTACCTAAGAGTGAAGCATCCAGGGAATATGGTCAGAAGGGATACTGGGACAAAATAATGTGGAAAATAAACACCGAAGGAAAGAAATGAAATTTAATTTTAAGTGTGAAAGGAGAACACTCATGAGCATCAGAGTGAGGCATAACTGAGTGATAGAAAAATACCTTCATACAGAGAAAGGAGTAACTGTGCCTTTTAGCCAGTTAGGATGGTGGGTCAGCAGTTTAAAATGTTTAGAAGGCAACTATAAATACTAGCACATTGAATAAATGGCAATCCTACTTAGAGTTATGCAGTTTTTGTAGTTTTTTTTTTTTTCCTGGCAGTTTTGGTAAATTATGTTTATGAAGATATTGACAAATTTCTTATGATTTTTAAGTTTCTTGTCACAGAGTTAACATAATATTTTTATTATTCATTTAATATGTATGCAGTCTCTTTTGAAAGAATAAAATATTGATTTTGCTGAATTTCTCTATTATCTGTGCTCATTTCTATTGCTCACTCTACCTACTTTGGTATTATTCATTATCTTTTTCTGTCTTTTTAAGATTGGATATTAGGTAACTGTTTTAATGTTTTCTTCATTTCTATTTTAGATTTTAAAAGCTGTATGTTTTCAGTTAAGAACTGCATTGGGGGGCGGTGCCTGGGTGGCTCAGTCTATTGGGTGTCCTACTTTGGCTCAGGTCATGATCCTGTGGTACTTGAGTTCAAGCTCCCTGTCAGGCTCTGTGCTAACAGCTCAGAGCCTGGAGCCTACTTCAGATTCTGTTTCCTTCTCTCTCCCTCCCCCATTCATGCTTTGCTTCTCTCTCTCTCTCTCTCTCTCTCAAAATTAAATAATTGTTTAAAACATTTAAAAAAAGAACTGCCTTAGTAGTATTGTATAAATTTTCATATATTACACTCCCATTATCCTTCAATTATAACTATATTTTATTCTTCCTGTAATTTAATCTGTGAAGCATTAATTATTTAGATGTGAATTGTTTAATTTCTACACATTCAAGGTTTCAAAAATAACTATGATTTCTTTTCAATTTATTTCCCTTGTGGTCAGATAATACACTATATATGATCTTAATATTTTTTAATGTATTTGGGAGTCATTTTTAGCCTAGAAAACGTCCTGTCATTGTGAATGTATCATGTGCACTTAAAAAAAAAATCTGCATCTTATAGTTGTTGGATGGAGCATTCTGTTCTGTACATGTCAATCAGATCAAGGTTTTTGGTAAATTCATTCAAATTGTTCATGACTTTACTAAAGTTTTTGTCTATTTGTTCTAGTGATTGCTGAAATATACATTTTAAATTTCCTACTATGCTTCCAGTTAAGTCTGTGAATTTTTGCTTCATATATTTTAAGTTTCCTTTAAATGTATTTTTTAACGCTTATTTACTTTGAAAGAGAGAGAGCAAGAGAGAGCAAGCTGTAGAGGGGCAGA